CGATAAGCTAGATCTACGCCTAGTTAGGCGACTGATACCATTGATAGAATATTAATGGATCAACTAGCTATAGATCTAGCATATGTACTTACATTTGGAGTAAATAGCGAGTCCTAGAACATGTACTAGTACGGGGTTAACAGATAGAGTGAGAGAGAGATAGGGGTTAAGGAGGTGCAAACTATCGACCGCCTTCGTAGAAGACGAGCTGGCCATGGGGTTGCTTAACGGTGGCGCTGTGATGCCCGACGGTGAAGGCGCTGTCGTGGTGGCGACGGTGCAAAGGTGGCGGTGGCCAGTGGCGGAGCTTCCCGTCGCTGGCAATACCCCCTCTCTAGATCGGCTAGGATTTAGGGACGGCTCAGATGAACCTCGTGCCTTGTGCTCCGGCCTCCACCTCCCTTTTTATGACACTGTGCGACGGGGGCCCACCAACCATGGAACAGTTGGACGCCTCCAATCAAGGCGCGGATCCAAGGGCTCAATTGCAGAGCCATCTAAGCTAGAGGCCTGTTTGCGCTTACTGTACTTGTTCTTGACAGCTTCTGTAGCCTTTCTTGTTCATAAAATCGAGCTATGGCTGCCCGTTGTTCCACTTCCACACGTCTGTGTGGCGATCTTTAATATATGATCATCTTGATACGTTCTGGAATTTGCTCCACTGTTCATCAAATTGAGGTACACTGTTGACTGTTGTGGGAACTATTCACTGCGTATTTTATACGGCGACTCTAATAGCCATAGTTTCTTGTCAAAAAAAATAGCCATAGTTAAAAGGAACGGAAGGTCAATGGCGACAGCTGGGATTTTTTGCCGTCCTATTCGGAGTTGGAGCTCCTTCCAGGTTTTCATCTTAAACTGATGATAACCCCGCTCTAATTAATCTCGCATTCAGCTGGAACTCTCCTCTCTGATCCTGGGCTAGCCTGCCGGATCTCATGCTAGATCTTGCTAATCTGCCTGACAGCAACGTGCAGCGTGTGGCTCTTGAATTGGATCCTGGCTGGTGAGGCAAGAGTAGTGACATGATCCAGCTGCTTCCATATCAAAATCTCGCCACTCCTGCCCCTGATAATAATCATTGATTTGACACACAAAAGAGGGTTTGCTGTCATTTTTAGATGCAGGTCATTTTTAGATGGCAAACATTTTTAGTTTTGACCACTAGTAGCTCTAGAAACCTAAATAGATTTTTACAACGTAAATATTGATGCTACTAATTCACTGCAAAATGTAATTTTATAGCATAATAAAAGAAATATCTCTACTCTCAATACTGTACTTTCATAGAATTGGCTAACCAAACTTTAACATTGTAGGCCGTGCCACTGTCCTAAACAGCTCGCGGTCTTGCTGTCGATCGTGGCCTTGTTTAGATCGTAAGTTTTTTCACTTTCTCTTTATCATATTAAATCTTTGGACATATGTATGGAGTATTAAATATAGATAAAAAAAATAACTAATTACACAGTTTGATTGTAAATTACGAGACGAATCTTTTGAACCTAGTTAGGCCATGATTGGATAATAATTGTCAAATACAAACGAAAGTGCTACAGTATCAAATACTGATTTGTAACACCCATCTAAACAAGGCCCGTGTGTTGGGCCTGCGGCAGCTGACAGCGACAGTGACAGGCGACTGATGCGTGCCGGCTGCCGCCGACCGCCGGTGGCTCGATCTCGCCGGCTGCGAGCTGGCGCAATGAATGGCGGCACGTCGCTGGTGCCGGTGCTGTTGGCGATTTGGCGTCGAGAGCGTCCGTCGCCTTGTGACCAGTCGCTGTACCATTTCTCCGAGGTCACATGACTTTGTTTTTTTGTATTTATTGTTTATTACTTTTGTGAGTCTCACAAAGTGGCTGCCATTTAGGAAAACATTTGTCCAAACGTTCAAGATTAGCAATGAGAAATTGGGGAAAAAAACATTTCTCCCTTCCTCTCTATGTGTAGGTCAGATGATTTATAGAAGAAATTCAGGTGTTCTAGACAGACCTAACTCTGACTCCTAGGAAGCGAATAGGATCTTTGTCTTGCGATTTTTCTCTACGGGTTTCTTTTCTTTTTTTACATATCTCTCTGGGTTTCTATGTTACTCCTTTGTTTCAAAATAAGTGATGTTTTAAGTCTGACCATTTTTTTTAGGAAAGAACACCAATATTTATGGCACCAAATAGATAGAATATGAAAATATATTTCATGATAAATTTAATAATACTTATTTGTAATAAAAAACATTAGTAATTTTTGTATAAATTTAGTCAAACTTGAAATAGTTTGACTTAGGACAAACTTAAATAAAACATCACTTATTTTAGGACGGAGAGAGTATTAGTTAAGGCCCTTTGTGAAACGCAAGATTGAAAAACATAGGAACAACGCAAGATAGAAATGCAAGTGTAAAACAAAATAAAATAATTCAAGGATGGTTGTTTGGATGGCATGCAAGAAAACAATGTTTTTTCGGTAATGCTTTGGTGAGGACATCCGACCGTCCGGACGCTCCATGCCGGGCTGGCGGACCAGCCCAATAGGTCTGCTCTTCTCTACCTTCATTCCTTCATGGTTTCTAAAAAAAAGATAACAGCATTTTCCCATCTTGCACGGCATTCCCCACTGTCGCACCACGACATCCGACCGCTATGGACGCCTCCACCGCGCCACCTGCCGCCGCTCGCCTTATCCAGCGCGGGAGGCCGCACCCGCCCCGCCGCCGCTGCCGCCTCCTCCGCGGGTGCCGCTCGCCGGGGCACCGCGCCCTATTGCCGAAGGCAGCGCAGCCGCTTACCGGGGGCCACGCAGCCGGCCGCCCGCTGCCATCCTCCTTCTCAACCGTGACCTAGCGTTGGATCCTGCTTGTGTAGTGCTCCGCCCTCTCGCCCGCCCTGCTAGGTTTTGCTGAAAGCGCATGTTGCAAGCGTATATTTCAAGTGTTTTAGAGGTATGTTGCTAGTGTTTCATATGGATGTTGCAAAAGTAGATCTGGATGTTGCATATGTTGCAATGGCCATACACGTAAGTTGCAAAAGTTTGTTCTAAATATTTCATCTGTTTTCAAAACGTATGTTGCAAGTGTTTTACTGAATGTTGCATATGTTTTGCAATGGCTTTCAAGTGTTTCAGACACATGTTGCAAGTGTTTCAGCTGTTTTGAACATATATTGCAAGTGTTTTATCTGTATGTTGTAAAAGTAGATCTGGTGTTGCACATGTTGTAATGAGATCCACGTGCCGCAGTCACCTGCTGTAACTGCTAGGGCGCAGCCAAGCGGGCGCAGACGGTCCCGCGTGCATGTGCGTGGGAAGCGGAGGGGGCGAGCAGTCCTCACATGGGGTCAGGCGGCGCGGATCTCGTGTGGGTGCACGAAACGGATTGCATGCACGAAAAACGCGGTGCAGGTGCAAGCGTTCATCCGAACGTCCGAGCACTAGCAATCCCTTTTTCAATAGATACATGTCTCGATCCTACACGAGCAAAGTAAGAAAATAAGGTCGGATTGGATGGCAATTTTCCTATGTTTTTCCTATATAGAATCTGTTGTGTAAAAACTTTTCGTATATAGTTTTCCTATGAACCAAACGATGTTACAGTACTCAAAACATAAGGAATCCAAATCCTACGTTTTTCCCCCTTGTTTACCCTCCGTTCCAAAAGGTCCCTAAAAAGGTTTACGAAACGACCCGCAATTTTAAATAGAGCCTACTGCTAGTTCAGTTGTAGGGCCATTATCCTATGGTTCCCAGAAGTACATCATCTGCGAAACACGCATGAGGAGAGGACGCAGGGAGGTACGAGGACCCAACCAATTTAGCTAGCAACGGACGTGGCGAGCCCCTGCACCAGCGGATGAGGTTGTTGAAGGAGCGAATCAAGCAACAGCGGATCGATCGCCTCGCGACATCATATCTGTCCTGATCCTGTTCATTCATGGCCAAAAAGGCGCGTGAAAGCCACCGCCTCCGTCGCCGCGCGGTGCGGCTGCCTTCGCCGCGAGGGTGCCACTGCACGCGGCAACCCGGCGAGGCCTGTCGCCATTGTGGAAGAAGGATTTGATGAAAGAACTTAACGAAAAAAAGTGGGTATGTATTGAGCAGATTTCAAAATTCAATGAGCCAGTGCATTGTCGCGTAGGCGTTTCTCAATATTTTCTCTATTTTAAATTATAAGATAGTTTGGTTTTTCTAAATATATTAATCGCCATGTTCGCTTTAGCTTATTCAGCGCTACTTTTCAGTTATGGAATAGTGTTTTCCTCTCACAGTATAAGCCAACTATGTATCTAAATATAGTATATATCTAAGTAAATAACAAAAACTATGTATTTAAAAAAGCCAAAAGTAGTATTGTTCTTTCCTCCTGTTTTTTTTTTACTATTACTCATTATTATTTGTCATGAAAGGGACGTTAAAAAGATGAATTCCATTTTCCCCTCTCGCTCGTACACTTGCACGGCTACAAGAGCTCACTCACATCATATCACCGTTGCACGGTGACAACAGTACGGGTGATAAGACTACCTATGACCCCCTGGATTTTCTGTCGACATGTATGGTCATCTTCTGATTGATGGTCATTGTCTGTCCCCATCCTTCGCTTTCAGCTCATTCATTCTCTGCAAATTAAAAGACCCCCTTCAGAGACTGGCATGTTCGTTTAAACTTATCAGCCGACTTAACAGTTAGAATATATAATATTTTTCTCTCACAACAAAACAGTTTCAGTCGGCTTTAATACCAGCCGAACAGGACTACTGCCATGTTTTCTCCAGTGATGTATTCACCACATGCATCAATTTGTTTCAACTTGTATGTGAGATGTTCTTGGAGCTAAGGGCTATATAAACCCCCCAAAGACAACCTCTTGGGAGCCAGACACCAACACAAGCAATACTTAAGCTGTTAAGCAGCACCCAAATGCCCCCTTGAGCACATACTCTCTCTCTTCTTCAACCCGGCCTCCTCTCTCTCCCTTGCATTCTTAGGCTTACATAGCAGCATACATGGCTCAGCAGCTCGTTGGGCGAATCACAATGGAGGTGGCGCCATCGAAGCTGAGATCGATGATGGACAGACGTGCTAGGCTCCCAATGAACCTCGACACGATCGCGGAGGACGACAAGGAGGCGGCCATGGAGTCACAGTCACCAAGGGCACCGCCCCTGCGCAATGCGAGCGGCGGCGTGGAGGTCATCGTCGACACCCCTATGCACTACTGCGCCGACAAGCTGGCCTTCCTCACCCCCATGGCGAAGTCCGAGTGCCTGAAGATCAAAGCCTAAGTTTGGTAGGGGAGAGAGAGATGAGGAGGCTGCTTGGAGCTGGATAGTCCTGCTCTCTTGTCTTAGTCTGAGCATAAGGCAATCCCTTTGTTTCGTTTTACGTACGCTATAGTAGCTGTCAGTGTTTTGCATTGCTCGGTGTACCTGATGAGAGAGAGAGAGAGAGAGAGAGAGAGAGAGAGAGAGGGGAGGGAGAGAGAGAGAGCTGTTCATGTTGGGGCACTTGTATTGTAACCACGAAAGAACTATATACTAATAAATAACGTGGTTTTTTGTTTCTACCCTTCAATGTGAAGAGAAGATCAAGAACACTACTGAATCAAAGTCTGTAACTTTTTTCAGCCTTTTGATTAGTATGTTGTTTAATACCACTGAGGCACTGATATATCTCCTAAGTTTCATCAGGGTAAGGAAATTGAAGCCGGTTTCTCGCGTTAATTATTGTTCATACATTAGCTTTTTTAATTACTGTGTCATCAGGTCCCTGTATATAAGCGTGGTTAACTTAACATGGATGGATCACAAGATTCACAACCCATCCAGAATAATCTAATATTATTCAGCTTCATGTGCTAACTATGGAAGTTCAAAAGCGTTAGTTGACAGGGAAGGACCAACATTCCTAGTACTCCCTCCATTCTAAGCTGTAATTAAGTTGTTTCGCCTTTATTCTAAGGCCCCCACTCCTTGAATTGAATTCATTCTAATAAATTATAATTTAAGTACATATTAATTAAGCTAATATGGTTGTATATGAAATATATTTGTATACTATTGTTAGCTATGCAAGGGAGATGCTTATATGTTACATTTTTACTATAGGGAAGAGAGTTGAAAAGTGTGTTATAAGTTACAGAGTAGAAACATAGCATGGTGATCTATAGAATCGTTTTCCATCTCTCACCCTATGAATCTGAGATATGCTTATATGTGAACTTTGGAAAGTTGTGGAATCTCAAATTCCAAGCTAAAATAGCCTACTCTATTAAGTAGATTCAAATTCCTCCAAAATAATGGGATCCAAACGGCCCCTAAGTTAAATTCCTCTAACTTTGTTCAAGTTTATATAAACATACAAACATCTATAACATCAAACAAGATTCATTTGATACATATTGCATTATTTGATATTGTATATGTTAATATGTTTTTTCTATAAATTTACTTAGAAAAACAAATTACAATTCAAAATGAATGGAATGGTTTAAAAATTAAATAGATGCATTTCACCTTAGGAGATAATAGATGATCGTAACCATCGTAAGGGCTCACAGTTATTTTAGAGTATCACAGCGAAACCCATTATATAAACTTTCTTCTTCTTAATGAAATATTTTTTTTTTTTAAAAACACCACTACGGGTCATCTGTGGCTTCTCGCGCATGGGCTTTTGTTGTGCAATGTCGTTGGTGATCCGTGGTCTTCAACTTCAGGATCTTTGGCAGTGGCAAGGCATCTACTAGACTACTACATACATCATCCAAAAACCGAAATTCCTAAAGCTGAAATAGTCAATTCATGTTTTAGCAGATTTCTTGGCAACTCATAATCGTGCAGGTATCAGGAGTCGTGTGTTAGCTGCATTAGGTTAGTTGGATCAAACGATCAAAACATGCTCAATTTCTTTTTCACTTCTTCTCTATCTAATATAAGGCTGGAAAAAGGCCCATGGGCTTCTTCCCATGCCTAGGCACAGCCCTTACGAATTGGGCCTCTAAGGGTATATGTTGTCCGTAGTATTTTGAGCACTTCAATCCTTGTCTGATCACTCTGAGTCTGAGTGTAATAGGTAGGGCATCAACATATATATTCTGATGAATAGTTTACCTTAAACACATGAGCATGTAACGTAACGAACCCATCCGAAAAGAATCCATCCATTGTTCCTACTCCTGCATGAACTGCCTGATCTGTCAATGGGGATTAGGTTCATCATGTGATTCAGTGTAGGCTAGGCGTCATGATTTCTCCACTCCTGCAAGCTTCTGTTCCACCAAGCCATCTCCAATCTCCAGGTCAGAAGATGCAGTGTGTTACACTAGCTAGCGTAATGGTTGCAGGCAAAAGAAAAAGATACAGCTACGGCTTAGCTTTTGGTGGCTCTTGGAAGGAGACATTTGGCATCAGCTGGTAGGTGCAGTGCATCGGAATGGAGTAGCAGCTAACTGGAATCACTCTCAGTGTCTCTGATTGATTCTTCGTGTGTAAATATGTACTGCTAGCTAGTAACCATTGCCAACATGAGCTAGTCTCCGTCAGGCCAGCATGTCTCCTTCTGGTGACAAATGTAGTCTTTTCAATTCCTCAAACCCTGAAACAATTAGATAGGTAATGACCATGTTGAGCAAAGGAACTACTAAAGCATGAGTAGTCTTTTCCGATGCTTTTTGGTTCTCCCAGGACAGACATACGAGTCATGAGGGCATCGATTGCTACCTGGCCAGCTCTGAAACTGAAATGGAACCGGTCGCTGTTCTCAACTGCACTGAATCCTTTCAAGTTTAACAAAGCGGTTGATGTGCATGTTTTTCAGCACCAGTTATATATATATGCATAAAACAATTATATTTTCTAAAACGGCACTGTTCACTGTTGTTACTGCTAGCACGATGTTCCCTTGAAAGAAGTTCAGCTCGATGTTTTGCATTACTAATAAATACCAAGCATGCATATAAAACAAGCCATGGACGATTGTGCACAGCATATAAATGTGATATTTATTGTACACTCTTGCCCTTAGCTTGCAACGGATTTGAAGTGCCTAAATGTGTAGGCCTCGAGTGTGGAGCACCGACGACTAGGGGCTTTTGTGGATGGATAGTGAGGGAGGCCTACGGCCTACGGCCCACGGGCCCAATAGGCAGCAGCAGCAGAAACCAGAAAGCAGGCACATGTTGTTGTCCTTGACGTGTCATGATCATCGCCCGTCCTCCTTCTCCTTGGGAGCAAAGCAAAGCAACGCAGCGCGGCCACGTCTTGGATACATTCCCATTCGGCCATTCCCAATCTCTTGGGTGCGCCCGTAACAACCAGTGCCTGCCCAAATGGAGCAATTGAGTGTAGCTGCCATGGAGAAAGTTCATTGTCATGACTCATGAAGAAGCCAATAGACTCGTAACGTTTCATGCTTTTGTTTCAAATATTTTATCTGGATATTGCAAAAATAGATCTATATGTTGCATATGTTTTCAAGTGTTTCAGGCGTTTGAGACTTATGTTTCGAGTATTTCATCTGAATGTTGCAAAAGTAGATCTGGGACGTTGCATTTGTTGCTAGCAATATACGCATGTTGCAGGCCTATGTTTCAATTGTTTCACGTGTTTTATGCGTTTGTTTCAAATGTTTCATCTGGATGTTTCGAAAGTTGATCTGGTGTTGCACATGCTGCAATGGCTATACACGTATGTTTCAAATGTTTCATCTATCTTCAGACGTATATTGCATGTTTTATTTGGATGTTTCAAAAGTAGATTGGGTGTTACACATGCTGCAATGGCGTCGGTGGCTGAAGGAAAGCGGCCTACCGTAGGGCTTCCGCTCCGACCTCACGCCTTCCTCGCGTGACGCACCTCGCCCTCCCCTCTCCCTCCCCTCCCTTCTCTTCCCTCCATCTCGTTGTGGCAGTTCAAGCTTGACCTAAGTGAGATGGGCGTGGGGTGAGGGAGATGCGTGCATCGGACGCAAGCACGGGAGCTCCGTCCAGACAAACGCCGCCTCTGGAGCGGGATTGGCGGGGGCGGAGGGCGCTACGTGCGTCGCGGTAGGGAACGGGGTGCAGGCGCGAGCGTCCGTTCACGTGCGTCCGTCCGGACGTCTGGGCGCTAGCACTACCGTAGCTGCACTGGGTTAGTTGGATCAAATCATAAAAACATGCTGAATTTGTTTCACTTCTCTTTCCATGCCTAGGCACAACCCTGACGGATTGGGCCTCTAAGGGTAAGTTGTCAGTATTTTGAGCACTTCCTTCCATTTCTGATCAGTCTGAGTGTAATAGTTAGGGCATCAACATATTCTGATGAATTGTTTACCTTAAACACATCAGCATGTAATGTAACGAACCCATCCAAAGAAATGTTTTTCGAAAAGGATCCATTGTTCCTACTCCTGCACGAACTGTCAATGGGGATTAGGTTCATCATGTGATTCAGTGTAGGCTAGGCGTCATGATTTCTCCAGTCCTTGCAAGCTTCTATTGATCCACCAGGCCATCTCCAATCCCCAAGTCAGAAGATGCACTATGTTACTGTAGCTAGCCTACTGTTTGCTGGCAACCGAAAAGATACAGCTACGGCTTAGCTTTTAGTGGCTCTTGGATGGAGACATTCGGCATCAGCTGGTAGGTGCATCAGAATGGAGTAGCAGCTAATATAATTGGCATCACGGTCACAGTCTCTGATTGATTCTTAGTGTGTAAATATATACCGCTAGCTAGTAACCACTGGCAACATGAGCTAGTCCGTCAGGCCAGCATGTCTCTTTCTGCTGACAAATGTTGTCTTTCCAATTCCTCAAACCCTGAAACAATTGGATAAACGTTAGCTGCTCCCCATTTTTCATGTTGAGCAAAGGAACTAAAGCATGAGTAGTAATCTTTCTGATGCTTTTCGGTTCTCCCAGGACAGATATACGAGTCATGAGGGCATCGATTGCTACCCGGCCGGCTCTGAATCTGAAATGGAACCAGTCACTGTTCTCAATTGCACGTGAATCCTTTTTAACAAAGCGGTTGATGTGCATGTTTTTCAGCACTATCAAACCAGTATCGATTCTCCTTTGAAACCTTATTGGCCTACTGTATGAAATAGAGGAAGCTTCTATTATCCGTTTTCTAACCTCGCTCGATGAATGCCTGTGAGGGCCGCCTCTGTATTTTGGAGTCGCATGGCTTCGATTCAGCGATGGCACCTTGCCGTGTATGTAGCTGAGGCAACCATAGTTGCAGGCCTGAGGATAGAAGATGATGTAGGCATAAGGCATGTGAGGGATAGGGGGAGGCCCG